TGTGAAACCTGCAGATGTAGTCCATAACATGGAGAGAGAGGCTTGAGAACAGCGCCCTACTGCATACACTCAGGCGCCTTGAGACAGCGTTCCAACATTTTCCCGGAGTGAGACCGTAACGCATGGTGAGCTGCACACGAAGTTGCTGTGGCCACACACTGATTTATCTCGCTTCGTATAAGGAAGCAGGCGAGAGATTTATTGTTACACACAAATAAACTTTCCGATTTATACCTCTGGCTGTTCCGGAGTAAGATCTCATGTCGTAAACTGTGCCGAACAGCTCAACTAAAAATAATGTATCAGCTTTTCAGATTTAGTTCCTTCTGTGCCTCGAGTAGTCATTCTGTTACACACGCATGTCAGAGAAGTTGCCGCCTCATGACGGCGCACCTTTAACCATGTGGGTAGTTGTAATAGCTATGGCCCCAATATTTTCCCTCTTCCCACAGTGTCTCGTCTCATCCTGTCCCCATAGCGAGTGCTACGGAAGGATTTATTGTCAGTTTGGTTTACTGAATGCACCAGCAGTGCACATCACAGGGCGAATTAAATTACAGATTTCTCCAACTTAGAGGCTGGTCTGGAAACTGCTATTGGCCAAAGTGAAGCTCGCTTTATTAAAATAGTTGGCTCAAGCTAAAATTGCAATTTATTCCTCTGGTAGACGATACAGGGTGTTTTAAGTTGTTGCCTCCTTTACTCTAGCAGCTTTTCAAGCCCTTATTTAGTCAGACTCTAGGCCTCTTTGGATAAGGGACTGGAAAATTGCAAGTAAGCACAGAAGAACTCGGACGGACATTCACGAGCCAAGCCGGATTCAGGTTCGTAGTCGCAGTGCTGGAGCAGTGGCACACAGTACAGTTGTCTTGTGCCCACGTAGTTAGAGATTGTTACGCTTAGGAGAGTTTTCTGTCCTCCACAGCGCTGACCCCTGTCTACTGGATAGCGGGGGCTCTTTCCGCCACGGGAAAGCGACCGGGGTGTGAAATTGTCCGCTTACTTCCATCTAGTGCCGAAGTTAAGAATAAGTGGAACTATACCTCCATTTTGATTACGAAACTGAAAAAGAGGCCAGAGCCCAACAAAGGGTTCTAGAGCCATTGATGAATGAATGCCTCCATTTTACCTTACGTCTTCGTGGCATTGTGGTTAATTAAGCACAGGGAATTTTACCTTTTTACCTTTACACTTTCCCAGCTGATTTTAGCAGTATCGAAGTAAATGCTTTCCTGAATGGCTTCTTCCTGATAGTAATTATATACCAACTTGGATCCCTGTATTGGGCTATTTAATGATGCTGTCTCAACCACAAAGGTAGCGACCAACGAACAGTGAAATTGGGAGAATTCTGGAAGCTGACATAACTTCCCTCTCCTCCCGCTCCTACTTTGGGGCACAGGGCCGATTTTTCAGTTTCATGATCAGTTTTACAGACGGTAGAACTCCTTGGACGGGTGATCAGCCCGCCGTAAGGCCGCTACCTAAACACAGGACAGCACAAACACAGAAGAAATGCGTACACACACCAAACATCCATGTCTTATATGGGATTCGAACCCACGATCCTGGCTTCCTAGCGAGCGAGGACAGTACATGCCCTAGACCGCTCGGCTACTGCGACCGGCTATTTCAAAATAGTATCTCAGTATTTGTATGAAGAGGTTAAAGAAGACCACGACAATCTGTGCCATAGTAGGAAATTATAAGTTCGAGAATGCCAGAGGAGTATATTACACGCAGAACGTGAAGTCAGAACATGTCATAGACATTCTATGCGTTACGTTAATTCCCAAAATACTGGGTCAGTTGCAATAACACCGACTATCCTTTGGTTATTTATTCATCGACAATTTATTTAGGTGGGTGTGGTTCTATGTACATATAGAATGCTATACATACACAGAAAGTCATCCGTCTTACATACCTTGAGGATGGAGGCGGCATGTACCTCCGAAACGTCAAAAACATCGCCCACATTCACACAGTGTAACATCCCAGGAACGGAATTAACATCGATTAACCAACATGATTGTCCAAAATCAGTATTTTGAATAGTTTTTTTTTTTTCGTATACATAGTTTGGTATATTACACCGCAGTTATGTTGGACGTGAATGTTTTCCGAAGTATGTTTAATATTCATGACGTTTCGGAAATTCTACATAGGTCGTACCGAAAGTAAAGAGCAACTTTCTTTTGCATGCATCCTGGGAACAGCAGACGAAAGAGAGTACGGTGGTAGGTGGAACCAGCTGTTGTGTTAACCTTGAGTGTCTTGTGACGTCAATAGTTTGCATCACGTGACCGGTATCACTCCTAAGAAAATGGCAACAACGATATGTCGTTTCGCCAGAGTGCTGTTATCGAATTTCTTGTGAAAGAGGAAATCCCTGCTGCAGAAATTCACCAGAGACTTCAGTGTGCTTATGGAAGTGTGTGCATGGGTGCGAGCAGTGTTGAAGATGGGCGAAACATTTTAAGATGGGAACACCAGCATCGAAGATGAGCCTCGGAGCGGTCGTCCTCGAACAGCCTCAGCTGAACACATTCTCCATCAGAAAAGAAGGCAAAGACAGTGCCATCAGCTGCGAAGGTGATGAGCACAATCTTCTGGGATGCAGAGAGTGGTTTATTCTGGCCGAATTCCTGGAACCTAGGCAAACCATCAATGCTGCTCGTTATGTCCAGACGCTGCACAAGCTCCGTCGTGCATTGCGCGATAAACGTCCGGGACGAAACATCATCCTGCATGACAACGCTCCCCCCCCCCCACGCCGCTCACCTGAAATTGGAAGCAATTGCAAAGATGAGGTGGGAAGTTCTTCCACACCCCTCCTATAGCCCTGATCTAGCACCCTCCAACTACCATCGTTTCGGATTTGTGAAGGATCAGCTGCATGGACAACGTTTTGAGAGAAGGAAGGCAATTCAGAAAGCAGTGCGTCAGTGTCTTCGGATGGCTGAAACGGAATTTTCCAGAAGGGGAATTTTCAAACTCCCAGAACGCTGGGAGAAATTTGTACAAAGAAGTGGCGATTATGTGGAAAATAAAAAAAGGTCTGTAGATTGAGGTGGTGTATTTGGTTTGTCAATAATAAAACTTGTTACTTTACAAAAAATTGTTGCTCATGACTTTCAGTACGACCCTCATATATACTCATATTCAGATGACTGGTTGTCATTCTGATATTTTGATTGTTTTTTTTTCTTTCATTTCATCCATTCTTGACCAACTGAGCGACTATTAGCTTTTCAAGGACTATTGCGTGGAGTTATTAGCAGCTGTTTGGTGTTTAGTATTCAAAGTGTCTGGGATTCGATTACTGGAAATAATATTGATAATGACAGTAGAGCAAAAAATGTGTAAGTTTTATGAACACAGTTCTTGTGAAGATGGCAGGTAGAGCTTCATATGTATTAACAGTACTTCAAGTAATGGGCCGTGATTGTCATAGTTGCAACGTAATTTGTCGACATTGTTAGGAACCTTAAGATAATTTTGATCACACTGTTGCTGGATTTGTCTCAGCTCTGCATAGGATGCATGTAACTTCTTTGTACGGCATATCCGAACAGACGTAGCTGTGATGACGTACTCACCATCAGTCACTTCAGAAGATAGACCATGGCAACAGTCCATAATTCATGAGTCTCCAGTGATGTATTTGTTTTCCTTATGTCCATGCTCGTTATGTCCAGACGCTGCACAAGCTCCGTCGTGCATTGCGCGATAAACGTCCGGGACGAAACATCATCCTGCATGACAACGCTCCCCCCCCCCCACGCCGCTCACCTGAAATTGGAAGCAATTGCAAAGATGAGGTGGGAAGTTCTTCCACACCCCTCCTATAGCCCTGATCTAGCACCCTCCAACTACCATCGTTTCGGATTTGTGAAGGATCAGCTGCATGGACAACGTTTTGAGAGAAGGAAGGCAATTCAGAAAGCAGTGCGTCAGTGTCTTCGGATGGCTGAAACGGAATTTTCCAGAAGGGGAATTTTCAAACTCCCAGAACGCTGGGAGAAATTTGTACAAAGAAGTGGCGATTATGTGGAAAATAAAAAAAGGTCTGTAGATTGAGGTGGTGTATTTGGTTTGTCAATAATAAAACTTGTTACTTTACAAAAAATTGTTGCTCATGACTTTCAGTACGACCCTCATATATACTCATATTCAGATGACTGGTTGTCATTCTGATATTTTGATTGTTTTTTTTTCTTTCATTTCATCCATTCTTGACCAACTGAGCGACTATTAGCTTTTCAAGGACTATTGCGTGGAGTTATTAGCAGCTGTTTGGTGTTTAGTATTCAAAGTGTCTGGGATTCGATTACTGGAAATAATATTGATAATGACAGTAGAGCAAAAAATGTGTAAGTTTTATGAACACAGTTCTTGTGAAGATGGCAGGTAGAGCTTCATATGTATTAACAGTACTTCAAGTAATGGGCCGTGATTGTCATAGTTGCAACGTAATTTGTCGACATTGTTAGGAACCTTAAGATAATTTTGATCACACTGTTGCTGGATTTGTCTCAGCTCTGCATAGGATGCATGTAACTTCTTTGTACGGCATATCCGAACAGACGTAGCTGTGATGACGTACTCACCATCAGTCACTTCAGAAGATAGACCATGGCAACAGTCCATAATTCATGAGTCTCCAGTGATGTATTTGTTTTCCTGTCGAATGATCAGGAAGCTCGTAAAGGAAAGACGACAGATCGATACACATTATAAAAGACCATGCGTACATTTCGTAATTTGTTTAATATTGTTGGGGTGCCCAGATTAATCGGGAATCGTATTTTGTTTCCGGAATTTGAAGGAGATTGTTTGTAATTAGTTTCAGATGTTATCAATCATACACTGCCTTCTCTTATTGGCACGTAAAATCTCATGTATTATGCGATGACTTTCTTATTTCCCAGTAGTATCAAGCTGGATTGTTTGGGGTGTGGACTGAAGGTGTTAATGGCAGGTGTTGATTGTTGCAGGAGCTGGGATCACAGCCATTGCCGGTCATCAGCGTCACCGAGGACGTGGACGGCAACATGGCGTCTGGGCACGAGGGTGGCCGACCGCGTGCAGGTAGGATCACAAGCAGCTATCCTGCCTCCGGTGACTAAAGAAAACAAGGGCAGGTTAGGGATAAAGCGGACTCCTATATAAACCGAGTTGGGAGCATGGATGTGCAACTTTGGGTCACATTTCATTGGTTACCATTCATTTTCGTTGGGTAATGAAAGAAATTAAGTGGATAGCGTATGCCTACGTTTTTCTTTGTTATGTATTGCGTTGGGGGGTTCAAGCGCTGCGATGTACCCTTTTGCCCAAGAAGGCGTAACAAAATAATTTTAAGGAATCGTTGCAGACAATTAGTTTGAAATTTGATCAGGTGTCATGGCAACTGGAAAAGATATAGGCTATTCGAAAACATATCAATACACTTCCGCGAAATAATCGTAATATTACTTTGAGTTAAGTGCTTCGACATGCAGTTTGTGGTGTATTTAGCTATGCGTTACCAGCAGCACAGGTTACAGGGCAACAGCTTGAAGTGTTTACCTAAGATTTTGAACTGGAAGGACGTGGGGTGAAGCCGCTGTGGCTAATTTAATGCACTGCATTAGTACTGTTGCGTGTTTCCTAGGTAACGCGACAAGAAACAGTGGGTTTCGGATTAGACGAATGTTTATTGGACAATTATTTGTTTACACTCACAGATGTAATCACTCTCAGTAACGCCTCTCACGTTCCCACTTCAGTGGCTGTACCCTTGTACTGCTATTCTCGGCGGAGTCTTCGATCTTGGTTCTTCCCTTACCGCTCATTGGATCCTAACTATTAAAAGTCAAAGTCATAGTCACATTGCGACCGACGGTCAGTCAGTCAGTAAGTCTTAGTTAGTTAGTTATTGGAGAGGGTGGGTTTCCCCATGCACTTAGACCTGTATTGGTCCATTGTGCTTCCCTCTATGATTTCTAGCAGTCTCTATATCCTACCGGTACTGGTGCGTACCATCAGTCCCGCCCAGCCAGCGAGACCGGCTCTACTAGCTCTACTAATGCTTCCGCCATCTACCAGAGGTATTAGAGACTGCCGCAATTTGGCTCAGTGACCTCCTTTGGAGATATGAGGTTCTTTTACGTGCCGTAAAGCTACGACACGGGACCCACGGCTTAAAGTCCCTCCCGGAGGACTTTTTCCCTGAATTTTTCCGCCCTTTAAAATTCGACGACCTCCGCCGGGTATTTTAACCCGCGTACTACGGGTCATGAGGTGGGAACGTTACCTCTAGACTACGGAGGCCGCTGTCAGTAAGTCTTGGTTCCGAGCCTCATATGGGGCTCATGCCCAGATATTTATTACTGTTTGACAGTTATGGTGTTGTTTCTGTGGCGCGCCCTCTCTAACGAGAGGACGGGTCTGTCTTTTATATATGCTGCTGGTTCTTGTCAGCGTAGTTTTTCTCGGGCCGAGTCCCTTGGGACTCGCGACCATATTTTACTCTCTCAGCTTTGAGACTTCCCTTTTGGTCGCCTCCTACGACTCGCAGGGTCTCGGTGGAGGTATTCGACCCCGCCTTCACACGGGTGTCTCATCCTAACTATTCAGAGTCAGAGTCAGAGTCAGACTTACTTTACGACTGGCGGTTTAACTCCAATCAGTTCGTCTTGGCATCAGGCCCCTTGAGGCCCACGACCAGAGATTTTTTCCCCAACTGAACTCTTGCGGTAATAGTCCTTATGTAACATCCTCTCTGACGAGAAGATGGGTCTGTCTCTTATGAATACATTCGACCTTTCGTCAAGTGTGTATTTCGCACATATATTGTGTTATCGAAAACACTTCCTTTTGCTTTACACACAAGTCCTCTGTCAGTACAGGCTTTATAGAGCAGATCATGCCTAACTTACATACCTTATGCTACAACGAAAACTTAGTCATTTGAACGGTCATAAGCTTGACCACCGCCAAGTTTGATCCTCTTATATTTTCTGTGTCTGGCTTCACCTTGTCCTATACCGCGAACATGTTCATTATCATGAGTTTGTATGACTTCTGCTTGTCGTCTGCTCAATTTTGTTATATAATCGTATACGTAAGGAAAGTTGAAAGCCGTGTGCAAGTCGCGAACTGATGTGCACCTTGGAAAATTTCCAGTAGTGCGCAAAGCCTTGTTTTGCATGCGCTGCAATTTTAGGATGTAGGTTTCTGCCGCTATTTCCCAGGCGGGACAAGCGTAAGTCATTACTGATCTGATCAGTGCCTTATAGAGGGATAGTTTAATGTTTGCGTTTAAACGCTCACTTTTGAATAGGGAGTAGATTCTAATGTTCTGAAGGCCTTGGCTTCAATCATTTCTATGTGAAGTCTCCATGTAATCCTCTTATCGAAGATTACGCCCAGGTACACGTATTTTACATGATTGAGGAAGGGAATATTCTGCCCATTCAATGTAAGATGAGTCTGAGGGGGCCTAAGTCTACGAGACAAGTAGATTGCCTGAGTTTTATCTTCATTGATTTTTATGTTCCCGCTCTCACACCAGGTCTCAGTAACACTGATATCTCGCTGTGACTTTCTGAGAACATAACCCTCTTTGCGGTCTGTCGCATGTATACAGGTGTCATCAGCAACGAGACCTGGAGAGACACCAGGTGTTTGGGGCGTATCGTTTATATATAGACTGTATAGTGTTGGGGAGAGAACAGAACCTTGTGGCACTCCTGCTTGTATTTCCCTTGGTGTAGACATTTCACATTCGACTGAAACTCTGAATTTTCTCCGAGAAAGGATAGAGCTAATAAGCTTGATTAAACTTATCGAAAATTGTCATGTAGATAATTTATATAGCAAGCCAGTGTGCTATGTTTTATCAAAGGCTTTTTCAATATCCAAGAATACAGCAGCTGTAGACATGTCATTGTTGAAATTTAAGGTTACGTGGTCCGCAAGCCTCATACACGTACATTGAAGTGTCGTGCTATGACGGGCACGGAAACCAAACTGGCTTGCATTAATCAGGCCTTTTTCTTCAATTTGCCTTTGGACTATTTTCAAAATAACTTTTTCGAATAGCTTGCCCGTTGTAGACGAGAGGCTAATCCGGCGTAAATTTTGAGGAAATTTTGTGTCCTTACCGGGTTTCGGTAACGTTATAACCTTTGGTTCCTTTCAAGGTTTTGGAAAATAAGACAGCCGAAGGCAGTGATTAATTAAATGTGTCAGATGTACCAGTGGTCTTCTTGGAAGAAGCCTAAGGCATTCATTTGGAATACCATCAAGTTCACAAGCCTTTCGCAATTTTAATGTATTTGCTAATTTATGTATGTCAGGAGGTCGTACTTTCCCCAACGGAGTGCCTTCTACAGATGCAAGCAGAGCTTAGACTGTAGTCTCTACCTGTCACACGTGGCTTTCGTCACATAGGTCACGAGATGTGAACTGGTTTTCTAAACAATCCGCTATCACGTTGGCTTTCTCATCAGGGTGATATGTTATTCCTAAAGGTACATGAACAGCGGTTGGTGCTTTGGTCCATCCCTTTTCATAAGCGATTTCGCAATAGGCCACAGAGCTTGAGGTGTGACCTCACAGTTCCCTAATTTTGTTTCCCACCGTTCTAGTGCCTTTCTACGGGTCATTCGTGTGATGATTTTGGCGACCCAATTGAGTGCCGTTTTACATGCTTGATCGCCAGTTACTTTCCACAGTTTCCTTAACCTCTGCCTACGTTTCAGCAAACTTTCCAGATCAGGTATGTCCTTATTAAGGTCCGAGAGTGTAATTTTGCTTTTTGATAGCTTATACACAGAAGCTATAGTGGCAGTAAAGCAGCGGGCCGCTTTATCGGCTTCTTCCTCTGAGTTAATTTGGATTCTAGGTGAAATTAATTCAGAGGCCAAGCTTTAAAACCGCTTCCAATCTGTGAATTTGTCAACCGGCTCCGAAAGATTCCTAGTGCTAACATGATCTAGCGAGTGGAACACAATTGATAGGTGATCTGAGTCCAGAATATCAGAGACAATGACTTCTGACAGCCGGACATTCTTGTGCACAATATCGAGCACGTCGCCATTTCCCGTAGGAGAGTAATGAGTGGGACATTGTGTTGCTGAAATTTCAAACTCATTTATATGCAGTAAATTCAGAGTTTCACGCCTGATGGGTTGGAAACATCACTATTCCAAAATGGATGTTTAGCATTCAGATCTGCCAGTATTGACTTATGTCTAAAGCTTAAGAGCTCAGTGATGTCGGCATCATTCCAGATGTGGCACGGGGACTTGTACACTGCTACAAGCAGTATGTCGCTACTACCAATCGGTATGCAAACCCCTGTGGCCTCTAATGAAACAAGCGGGGGCAGGTCTACATGTTTGTGGGGAATGCCTTTTCTCACTGCAACGGCAGTTCCGCCTTTTCTGCCGAGTGGCGGTCAGTACGATAAAAGTGATAATTTGGAATAAAGAATCTATCATGGGGTTTGAGATGTGTCTCCGAGAGAAGAGCCACATCTATATGTAAGTGCTATGATCCTGAGCGGCCTATGAACTCTAGCAGCCATTTTGTTGCATTAAATTAAGTACCATTTTTGTAATGACCATTGTTCTGTCTTCTTGTGATAGAGCTCCGCTGAGCTCTGTCATGATCTGATGCACTACAGTATCACTGTTAGACTTACTGGGAGTCTGTACTGACAGACCTGTTTTCTGAAACTCCTGTTGCGGCAGATGCTGCTGCACGGAGTGCCAGACGCTTTCCACCTCTAACTGGTGTTGCTGGTGTTGATTGTCTTGACGCAGTGCAGCTGCGTACGATTGCTCTGGTGAGGTGTATATAGAGAAAAACGTTCTCCCAGCTCCCTTTGGAGCTCCTTGTGCTCTTCTCCTTTGCAGTTCTCCTTTCGCATGGCTGCAACCTCTGTATGGCGCTGGACGAGGTTTCTCTCCTTCTACTGGAGCTCGCTGTGCTCTTCTCCTTTGCAGTTCTCCTTTCGCATGGCTGCAACCTCTGTATGGCGCTGGACGAGGTTTCTCTCCTTCTACTGGAGCTCGCTGTGCTCTTCTCCTTTGCAGTTCTTC